GTTCTATTTCATCAAATGGAAAAGATATTATGAATAGTTTCTTCCCATCATTCAGCATGTGAACATAGGAACTACTTTAGGATCACAACCCCAAGACATTAATAAGAACTTTGCAATATATCTAACAAGTTTTTGAAGTCTTATACCTTTGGATAGTGTATTAGTTTCCTAAAGGTGCTGGTGGTAACAAAGTACCACAGGTGGATGACTTTAAACAACAGAATTGTATTGGCTCAGAGTTCTGGAGGCACTACCTAATTCAGGGTGTCTCTCTGAAGGCTCTAGGGAAAGATCCTTTTATGACTCTCCTGGCTTCTAGTAGCTCTAGGAGTTCCTAAGCTTACAGCTACCAATGCAGTGTAATTCTATGGCCACAAGTTCTTGGCCACAAGTCATGGTGGACAGCTGTCATCATGAGTTTGGTCAGAGACAGAACTGCTGTAGACATTGAAATCCTACGTGTGCTGCTCAGAGTGCTCCAACACTGGGATTAACTCTTCATTTCTCTGCCCAAGTACACAATTGCTCCTGAGAACTGCTTCTCTGTCTCTTATCAGGTACCACTAAGATTGGATTAAGACCTACTCTACTCAAGTCTGACCTAGTGTTAACTACTAACGCCTTCAGAGACCCTATTTCCAAACAAGGACACAGTCACAGGTATTAGGGATTTGGACTTCAACATAAATTTTTGGGAACACAATTCAATCCAGCCAACAGACAATAATATGGTAAATGTGCAATTTAAACCAGATGGCATGGACTTCTGGGATTGTTAAGTGCTGTCAAGTCGGTTCCAACTCATAATGACCCTGCATGGGGTTTCTGAGGAGTGCCTGATGGATTTGAACAGTAGATCTTGCAGTTCGCAGTCCAGTGCTTATTCCTATAGTGCCACACCAGGACTCCGACTTCTGGCATAGCTAGTCTAATCCCCATGTAGGACAACTGCTACAGGGCCGGATTTCATTGATAAGAGAATTCATGGAAGCAAGCAGCATGAATTTTTTGTTTAGAACTCTGCTACAAATTGTAGGGTCCAAATCAAGGCTGGCGTATTGTAAGAGATTCAGAGGAAAACCATAATTGGGTGCTTCTATCTGTGTTGTGTAATTATATCTTCATTTTGATGCAAACAGTATTATGTTTCTCAAAGTGCATGATCAAACTATCTCTGCCCTTTTCCTTCACCAATGTTCTGAGCCTTTTCTAGCTCTAAGGAAATTGTTAGCGACTCAGCTAAGAGTTTGCAACTTTGAACACTGGCTGCATTACTTTATTTGGTGAAAGAGTTCTTTCAATGAAAAGGCAATGAGTCAACTAGAAAAGCAATATCTTTTTTTTTTCTTTCTGTCTTGTAATAAGTTTATTTGCAAACATAGCCAGTATGCTATATAAATTCAACTGAGTTTGATCCATTTTTCAGAGATTGTACTTCTTAAAACATTCTTACCTGTTTCATGGACGAAATTTCTTAAGGAGTTGGTATCTTACTATAAAGAAAGTGACATCAAATCCAGACCCAAAGTGTACTTTCATCACAATTAGTAACTGCCACTTGTTTCCACTGAAAATGGCAAATACTTTACTGGGCTCGCCTCATAGTGGCCCCTGTGGACCACAGAGATGGTAAACCTCTGGATGCTCTGCTCCAACACAGCGCTGTTGGAGGCTCTGAGAAAGACACAGAGAAAAACAACAGAAGAAATGGCTGAAAGTGATAGCCTTGGTGTATCCTGTACAGTAGACAGACCCAAACTGCATATACTGGTCATGTCAGATGGGTCTTGACTATTGTATTGGTATCAGTAGCCAAGACTTCTTATGCAGGTCGCTGAGTTGTTCAGGGTGTCTGAGGGTAGGCTGGATGGGTGATGCCATCTGTCCTTGGCTCAGTGGTGCGGTAGCCAACAATATTACTTTCTGAGTAGGTTGGCTGGTGGGTGTGGTGGGTGATGGGGGGCTTGGGACCAGGTTCCCCTCTGCTGGCCAAGACAGTGGGTGGGGGTGGATGTCAGGCTAAGAAGGCAGAGGCATGAGCTCTCTACCTAGCTAGGTCAGGGTTGTGGTTGGTGAGTTTGTAGGAATGTGGTCATGGTTTACAGAGTTGGGAGTGTGTTTGAGTGCAGATGCCATTGCTTGCTGGGCTGGGGGAGTCTTTCTATCTGTCTTGCATTCTCCGGAAGAATGGAATCTAAGGTCACTAAATTTCTGATCCCAATTAAAATATCCTGTAGAAGAATTTATCCCTCTCAGTTTCATTACTTGAATAGAATCTTCTAGGTAGATGTGTATTTCATATATAGAAATTCATAGAAGGCATAGTTTCTGTACTGTAGTGGGCTACAAGTTGGGCTGCTAACTGCAAGGTCAACAGTTCAACACTACCAGCGGCTCTGCCGGAGAAAGATGAGGCTTTTTGCTCCCATAAACATTTATAGCTTTGGAAACTCACTACCATATCACTATGAATCAGAAGTGAGTCCACAGCACACAACCACCACCACCACGACCAGGAGCTTACAAACTGAGGCCAGGAGTTTGAGGGTGATTTTCACATGTCAGCCCAGCCAAAATAAATATTATATTTAATGTAAAAGCCATGTTGTTGTTGTTAAATGCTATCGAATGGGTTCTGGCTCAGGGTTTCCAAGGAGCAGCTGTGCATATTAATCTATAATGAATACTTCCACATGTTTTTCACAAATGTGGTGAAACTCATATGAAATTGTTCACTAGAGATGAGTTACTTTTGTTGTTAACTGTCATGGAGTTAGTTCTGACTCATAGAGATGCTATATAGGGTATGAGGCTATAAATCTTTGTAGGAACAGAAAGCCTTATCTTTCTCCCAAAGATCAGCTGGTGGACTCCAACTGCCAATCTTGTAGGTTATCCGCCTCTGACAACAAACCTATGAGGTATTGTTTATAATTCTCACTTTTTTGTCAGGATATTGAGGTTTACACATTCCTGGTGATTAGCATGCTAGTAGGGATATGAGGGGTGAGGTTTGAATGAAGTTCTGGCTATCAGTAGAGCCATATAAGGCTGGGTTTACATTATCCCTTTGAAAGACGTTCAGTCTTATGCTTGGAAGGGAGTAATGTGTGATGCTTATTATCTTACCCTTTTTTGTATCATTTCAGAAAAATCACCTTTCAGAAGGTTCCTTTCCACAAGTAGGGAAGGAAGGAGCAACTGGGTGTGGAGGTGAATGAAAATGCAGGTGTGTTCTGTCAGCATCTTCAAGTAGCTTCCCTATAGGTGCTCTAATGGTCTAGAATAGAAGCATCCTGCACCTGCCTGTGGGCCTCAGCAGTGATCTAACCTCATGAACTGCTGTCCCTGGCTTCCCGCTGGCAGAAGTTAGTGGCTTAGAGGAAGCTATCTCCTGATTCTTGCAATCACAGAACTTTAGAGCCTTAGATCCTCTGGTCCAATACCCACCTTTTACAGAAGGAGTAGCTGAAGCCCCAAAAGGCCAAGTAACTGCCTGCAGTCACCCAGTGAGAGAACAGAAGGAAATGTAGGCTCGTGGGGTCAGCACCCCTGCTGATTAGACAGAGCCCAACTCTAACAGAAAATGAAAAGGGAAAATTCTGTTACAAAATGAGGTAGGAGGGAAAAGGGGCCGCTCTTATTCTCACACTCAAGGTGTGAACTTCTTTATTGAATCATGATCATTTTTTTTAATCATAATTTTTCAAAAATTCTGAGCCCTGCTACTTTAGGTTCTCAGGCAGGTATCTACTTCTTTTCCCCTAAAGCTCCAAAACACTTCAAGGTCCAACTGGGAGTGGGGACTGCATGGGGGTGGGGGTGGGCAGGGCTCCTATGGGTTTACTTCATCCTATCATCATGCCCCTCCCGACACACACACACACACACACACACACACACACTCCTGCTACCAGGCCCTGATTCCTTTGGTCTCAACTCTACACAAACATGTCTTTCAGAAACGTCAGTGGCAGTTCCTCTGTCCCAACAAAATCTTTCCTGTAGTATTGTGCTTATATTTACATTTGAACAGAGCGTGAGCTTTTGTAAAGTGCTTTCATGTGCAGCTTCTCACTTGATCCTCACAACACCCTTGTGAGGCAGGCAGGGAAGGGATTATTCCCCCATTATACAGGAAAGGGAACAGAGGCTGTGCGCTTGGTTCTCCAGTTGTCAGAGCCTCAGCCTCACACCCCTTTGCACAGGTTTCTTCTTTTTTTTTTACCTCGAGTTTTCTAGAATCCTAGTGGATTCTACATAGCAGGCATTTTACAAATGCATCTGAATCCACGGTTACTCAGATCTGCACTCAAGAGGTTTTGTGTTGCCCTTGCAGTGTTTCAACGCCTTGGCTGAGTTTCCAACTGAATTGTGGGCCACTCTGGTTCCAGGCTTGCAGTCTTTTGTGTTTATATTTCATTGTTTAATCAAAGTTTTAGGGGATACAAGTTTACAAACTTCCATTTTATCTAAAACTTCTGTTTTATCCAAATGGGTCTGTTTTGGTTTTATTTTCTCTTGCCTAAATGTTAGGCATTCAATCTAATGGGTTTAAAAAAATTAATATAATTTGTTTTCCATCTTGTCAGTGCAAAACGAAGTATTCTTAAGACAAAGCACTGAAGATCAGGATTGTTCCTCCTCTTCTACTTCTGATACTTCTACAGCAAGTAAATAGTTCTGTAAACATGTGTGTTGAGTCTGCATTCTCCTGTGTACAGATCCACTGTTTCATTCCGTCCTTGGGTCCATAGCAGTCAAGAACAAAATGGCCTTCTTGTCTTATTCAAAATGGAGATTCCCGTAACATCTGGACATTCATCAAGGCCCGTTTCAGCTGCTCATACGTTACAAACATCATCACATTCCAGGCTCCCAAACGCAGAAAGGAGGGTGTGAATCTGATGAGATAAACAAGCAAAACATCAGATGGGCAGGGTAAGAGACCAGAACTGGCTCTCCTCTCGTGCTCTCCCCCCAGTGTTAGTGCCAAAGGACTACAGCTGTTAATCAGCATTTTCTGAGATCTGATCAGTTTTTTCTTCTCTGCTGGAGGAATTTAGGCAGAAGCTGGAGTCAGAAAAGGAAAGAAAACTGACATTTATTTTGAGCCAGGCTAACGTGTCAGGAAGTTTCACTCATATTACCTCAGCTAATTCTCATAATACTTCTGTAAGGTAGCTATCACTGGTGCCAGGTTTCATTTTCAGAAACTGAGGCAAAGGAACACTGAGTGACTGAAGTGAAATCACTTGTCAGAGATGGAGTTCAATGAGCTCAGTCTCACCTGACTCCACTCTGCTTCTAAATATTTCTGAACTCATTTACATCGGGAGTAGTCAACTCTGGGGAGGCCCCCTGCCAGGACACCCAAGATACTCAGCCAGAGCTCAGACTTCACCAGCAGGGGTTTAACCATGTGGCACCAAATCTAGTGAATCTCCAGACATCCTGCCTGTCCTATCAACAAAAGTGTTCCGGAGAAAGCCTTTCCTCAGATGGGAGAGTCCCCGGCCTCAGCTGCACTTCATAGACTCGGGCCTCTCACTCCACCAATCCCTTCCTAGTCTACTCTACACATCCATGAATTTGCTCATGTTGCTCCCTCTCCTTGGAATATCCCTTATTTCTTTGCCCTTTGCTCTGTAGGATTCAGCTCTGGCATTTCATGCCCAGTTCTTACTGAATGTGGCCTAGGCCCCTCACAGGGAGAACATGAGAACTCTAGAGTCAGACCTGTGTTTAGATCTGAGCTTGACTAGTTTTATGATCTTGGATAAATTATGTACTCTTTCCAAGCCTTAATTTTCTCATCTGTAAAATGAGGAAAATAACATTATCTACCTCATAAAATTGTCATTTTTATTAGATGAGCTAAAGCTGTTCCGCGGGAGAAAGATAAGGCTTTCTACTCCCGTAAAGATTTACAGCCTCGGAAACCCTGTACAGGGTCACTATGAGTCGGACCGACTCCACGGCACATAACAACAACAACAACAATGCTGTAATGCACACAGCACACAGCCAGTATCAGTAAATGTTCAACAAGTGTCACATAACTTTTGACTGCTCTTTTAGGGCCTGGCACACACAAGATGTGTTTGATGAGTGAAAGAATGAATTGAAACAGTGGTTAAAATAGAAGACAACAGATAGAGGCACATACAGGAAAGGAACAGTAGGTCGACTGAGATGCCATTTTACCATGCCCAGGCTCAAGAAACTACAATGGCTGCTATTTGCTTGATGGGTCCAATCTAACATTAGGAGCCAGAAAACAATCTGCTGAAGGCATCACTGGATGATGAGAGGGTCACCCAAAGAGCTTACCAGTATGACACCCAATAACATGTAGTGTAAGCAACAATAATGGCTGACTTGAGTCATGGCGCTGCCATTTTAACTTTGTGGAATTGGACAAGTCACGTAATGTTTCTGAGTCCTCAGTCCATCCCTCAGTAAATTGAGGGATTTACTACCCACTTCAGGAGTTGTTAAGGTAATATGTGTAAATTGCTTAGCACAAGGCCTAATACATAGAGCTTCAGCTGTCTGGATGATTATTATTACCCTACATGAGTATTTGTTTGTGATAGGGACTCTGGGAAATAAAAGATGCATATGCCACCAGCGTCTAACTTCACGGAACTTGTGTTCTAATAAGGACCTTACAATAACTTACAAATACTATAATATCAGTTCAAAAAAAACCAAAAACATCCAACGATTAGCATTAAGTCATTTCTCATTCATAGTAACCCTGTAGGATAGAATAGAATGGTCCAAGGCTGTAAATTTTTACAGAACCACAGACTGATACAATTTTTTCCAGTGGAGTGCCTGGTGGGTACAAACTGCTTAAACACTGTACCACCAGGGTTCCTTTAATACAAGGTTGTTGTTGTTAAGGTTATAACTCATGGCAACCCTGTATGTTTCCAAGGTGTGGTTGGTAGATTTGAACCACCAACCTTGAGGTTAGCAGTCCCGTGCCTATACTACAGGGAACATTTATACCTAAGAGTATCAAGTGGGCGGTAGTATTTCAGAGTATTGAAGGAGGACTAAGATTCAAAGCATGTACATAGCAAAAGGAAGGAATTGTTTCTAAAGGAAACAGTAAATGCAAAAATAAGGAAGTGAGAACTCCTGAGGTGTGTTGGCATAGTAAGTTTAGCATTTCAGCTATTTGTTAATCAGGTGATCAGTATCCTGGTAGAAGGCTAGAGTAGTCTCAGGATCAGTAATCACCTCTTGCCCTTGTCCAAATAAGTTTGGCAACAGACACCATAGGAGTCCCTGGGTGGTACAAATGGTCAAATGCTCAACTTATAGCTGAAAAGTTGGTGGTTTTCAGAGATCCCTCAGAAACCAGGCCTGGTGATCTGCTTCTGAAAACTCTGTGGAGCAAAGTCACCCAGGGTCACAATGAGTCGGGATCGACTCAACAACCACTAACAACAGACTCATTTTGCTCAGTCTTCCCTGACCCTCCAAATCAGGGTTGGGCCACTCTCTCTCTCTCTCTTAGCTTATTTATGTTTCCTTTGTAGCCTTTACATCTGTGCTGCTCACCACTCCATCCCCAGTGTGGCACAGTAAAGAATGAAGGGAACCTGGCTTCTCTGGGAGAGAATATTAAGGCATAGGAGAAGGCTCACCCCTTATAGAAGGCTGTGGGGCCCTCCTGGGCCACCATCTTCAGCATACAGTCGAGGGGGCTGCGGTAACGACCTGGGGGTGAGTTCATGTACCGGGTCTTCACCACGTCCACTGGAGAGGCCACTACTGTGGCACAGAAACCAGCTCCAAAGGCAGAAACAAAGTGGCAGGGGAAGTTGTCTGTAGAGAGGAAGGGATAACAGATATCAGGCTGTGGGATCGGGCATACATATGCTTTCTGTTTCATGTGTATTCATTGTCCCAACTCCTATAGGACAAGCTATGAACACCTCAGGAATAAGGACAGATTTTCTATATCTTTTACAGTCTCAAGGCTAACTTCTTGGTAAACAATCCATTGCTGTTGAGTCGATTTGGACTTAGAGCAAGTCCCTTTGTATCAGAGAAGAACTGTGATTCTGTTCAGAAGTAAATCATCAGGGCTTTTTTTCCCTGAGGTACCTCTGGGTAGAGTCAAAACTCCAACCTTTCAGTTAGCAACCAAATACATGAAATATTGGAGTCACCAAGGGTTCCAAGCTCTTAGTAAATATTGGCAAAATAGAATTGTTCTGCTCGGAACTGGAGGGTTATAAAGCCCAATTTCATTTGGCCATTAAGGAAACTGAAGTCAGAGAAGGTGAGTGACCGTGGTGCTCAAGGTTACATGGGAAGTAGTAGAACTGAGACTTGAACCCTGGTCTCTAGCCTCCTATTCCAGAGCCCTTTCCTATCTATCACAATGATGCACTATCATTTCATTGGGTCCCATGCCTCTCTACTCCTGAAGCCCAGTTGCCTCTGGGTGATATCTACTCTGGTGCATTCTAAGTTCCTTCCATGCTGTACTTTGGGGTGTCTGGCAGGCTAACATGGGAGGGCTGTTAGCCTGGAGTACATGGCCTCACCGGTCAGCAGGTGAGACTCTAGCAGCTTCTCCTTGATGATGTCATAAGTCACCATCTCAGCACAGTTGACGATGGCATTCCGTGTGATGTTGGGAAAAGTTCCTATTAGGCAGTACAGAGGAGGCTGGTGAGTGGGCATGGAAGAACAGACACCCTGGGTGCAAGGCTACAAGACATTTCTTCTAGTTTGGGAGCCATGTGCCCCATTCCCAGGTGCCAGAGGAGCTCACCCCAGCTGAACAGATTCCACACCTTCTACTGTTAACAACTCTCACATGATCCATTTCCTCACCAGAGATAGAAACCAGAAGCACACTTATATTGTTTGGGTCACATGGCTTTCAAAATTAAAATAGGCCTCTGATCCAAGACCCAGGAAGTGTTTCTTTGGAAGAGGAAGGCTGGGCCCCTGGGATAGTGACAGAATGCAGTTCTGGCAGAGCCCTTGGAGAGTGTCAAGGCCACCCCCTCATTTCCCAGGTGAGGCAACAGGCTCCAGGAGGGCACTCAGCAAGTAAGGGCGGAGCCAGGTGTTTTGTCCTTAAACCATGCGGGCTTGAAAAACTTCACTGGGTCACTGTTTCTTTTCAAGGATTCATGTGGCCTCAAGTCCACATGTGGGCGAGAGTTAAGCATTTGTTGAGGTGGTCACTGTGTGGACACACATGGAACCCTAAAGCTCCTCTTCCTAAGGAAGTCCCCTCCTCCCCCACCTCTCCCTGTCCCCAACTCCTCAACCCTGAATTCCTCCAGTGTTTCTTCTCTGTACCCTTTTCTCCATACATCTAATGCCTGCTCAGCTGCAATGCCACCTCCTCTCTGGAGCAGGGTCTGGTCTCTCCCAACCAGATCTGCACCTCTGGCATTACATTGAGCACATCCTGCCCTGTGATGGAGCTGCTTCTTGATGTGTCTTACTTCTGTGTGTCTATAAGGGCCGTGAGAGTATGAAAGCTGTCCTTTATTTATCTCTCTCTCCCTCATAGCAGCCTATATATGGCAAAAGGTTGGTAAATTTAACTGAATTTTAAGCACTAGTGCAAATGAATCAGATCTTTTTGGCTGGGATGTCCTCTCACAAACACAGCAATAGCACCATGCTGGTTCTCACAAACACAGCAATAGCACCATGCTGGTTCTCACAAACACAGCAATAGCACCACGCTGGTCACTCCCTCCTTGCTTAGTTCCCTGACCCAGCCCTAGATGGCCGGAGCTTAGAGCTCAGACCTACCTTTCCACAAGCCCCTGATTCCTTCCTCCTTGGCGATGGTTCTGTAGGCATCCATAGTTCCGTTGTATTTCCTGTTGCTCCCGGATCCAAGGTGCTTGCTGGCCTGAAATCGGACCTTTACCACATCCGTGGGCTGGGCACAGGTCACTGCCATGGCCCCTGTGGTACAGCCCGCCAAAATCCGGATAGTGATGCTGGAGTCTGGGGAAGTAGAGATGGAGAAGAGTGAGTGGGCCGGTGTCCTGCCACTGTGCACTTCTCTGGGATTGACACTCGTCTCTGTGGGGCCCTTTTCCTGGCTTTGGATTTTTGGAGCTTCCTTGGTGGCCAACTCAAGTCTCCTCAAAAAAATGTTACCAGCTTCCCCCATCCCTAGTTCTGCCTCTGAGTCTGGACTGCCCGGTTTTCTGACCCAGTTGTGTTGTGTCTTATGCTACCCAGCTCCCTTGGTGTCCATTGCAGGACCCAGGCACTCACTTTCTGATCCCTTGGGGGTGTAGAACTGCTTGACGGAGTCGTAGAGGCCAATGCGGATGGAGGCAAAGCTCATCTGGCGCTGCAGGCCAGCAACCAGTCCATTGTAGGGGCTTCGCGGGCCCTCCGTGCGCACCATGGTCACGATGGTGCCCAGCACGCCACGGTACTGTGTGCTTCGGGCCACCTGGGTCCCTTGCTTCTCGCCCTGGATCTGAGGGACAGTCCACAGCAGTGGTGTGAGGAGTTGGGGTGGAGTGTATGAGGAGTTGAGGTGGAGCGAGGCAAGAAGGGACAACAGGGGGCAGAGAGACCCTGTGGAGTCTGGAACTGCCTAGGCTAGATCTCGAGAACATGCTTTTTTTAAAAAGCTTTTTATTGTGAATTGAGTGAAGGTTTACAGAACAGAGCATCAGCATCACATTCAACAAATCATACACTTGGTGTCATTACAATAATTGCAATCCCTTCCATGTACCGTTGTTGTTATGTGCCGTGGAGTTGGCTCCGACTCATAGCGATCCTGTACAGAGTTTCTGAGGCTGTAAATCATTACGGGAGCAGAAAGCCTCATCTTTCTCCCATGGAACAGCTGGTAGTTTTGAACTGCTGACCTTACAGGTTTGCAGCCCGATTTGTAACCACTACGCTACCAGAGCTCCTTTTTCTATGTACCATTAATTAACAGCATTTACCTCTAGTCACTTCTCCCTGTGTCTTATACTACCTTCATCTTTGCCTTTCCCATCACCCAAGTTAACATGTGTCTACCTTCTACCCCATGAATAATTTTTCCTTCCCTTCCACTACTGGTAACTATCAGAATGTTTCTTTTAGCAAGAAAATCTTTTCTTAACTTTTCACAACAGTGGTCTCATACAATATTAGTCCTTTAGTGACTGACTAATTTTACTCAGATGCATGCAGAGAACATGTATGATTTTTACAGACATTGCATCATAGGAACAAAAACTAAGACTTGTGTAGCATTTTACACGTCACAAGGCAGTTATACACGGCATGGCATTGGATCCTCAGACCAAGTCAGAGGAGCAGGTTGTTTTTCCCTTTTTACAAATGATCAGAGCCTTGTCGAAAGGGACACAGTCAATTAATTCCTTATTTTTCCTTTGCATTTTATGGTTTACCAAGTAGGGGCAATCATGTTGCATCCTTGAATTTGAGTGCTTGTTTTTTTCGCCTGGGCAATAAGGATGATGATGGGGATGGGGAGGAGTCAAGACAGGGTCCTAAGCAGTGCAGTGAATGACCTGGTCACAGCATGACAGCAGAGGTGTAGGAGCTGTGGGGGAAACCTTGCCCTTCTGATGTGAACCATGACCCTTGGCCAAATGACACTTACCTGCAGGCGGACCTTGGCTGTGTCCAGTGGAAAGGTGAGGAGGTCAGCAAAACAGGCTGCCGTGCCAGCCCCCAGGAACTTCACAGCTGTTGTGGGAGGCATCTCTGAAGGCTTCATTCCAACCATGGTCCCAGGAAGCTCTGCCTGGTTCCTCCGAGGCCCAGTGGAGGTCCAGGGAGAGAGGCCACACTGCAGCACGAGATTCAGTGCAGGGTGGAGGCTGCAAGAGGTAGGATACAGGCCAGAGGTGGCAGGTAGAGCCTGGGCTGTCTGACCTTTGTCCCCAGTCTCCCCTCCATGCCTGGGGGGGGGGGGGCTTTGGGAAAGTGAGGTGCCTGGACCTTGTCACGTGGGAGCTGTGTGAATTTGGCCCATAAAACAGGTCACTTTGGGCTGGGTGTGGCATCTTCACTACATAAATGAGGAAACCAAGGCTCAGACAAGGACCAGACCCTGGCTTGACTCCAAACCCCAACTCTGCTCTCTTTCCCCAGCATCAAGCTGCTTTCTGTGAAAAGACTTGTCTGCTAATCCTCCTCCGAAAGGTAGAGGGTCTGCCAAGTCTCATCACTTCAGATTGTTCTATCCTGAATAAACAAAATAAACATGTCTATGACTCACCACGGGTTCTGGCGTGGTGTAGAATAATGCACTGGATTGCAAGGTTGGTTTGAACTGCAAGATTGGCAGTTCAACTTACCAGCTGTTCCTTGGAAACCCCATACAGGGTGACTATGGGTCAGAACCGACTCTACAAGACTTAACAACAGCAGCCACATGACTCAACATAAATACCCTGCACCTTGGAGGAGGGCACCTTTGTTTTTGCAAGGTTATCTGATTATGCTATTATCCTTAAAACAAACAAAACCTTTCTCAGCTTACAATTCTTTCCCTGTCATGTTGTTGTTGTTAAATACCATGGAGTTGGTTCTGACTCATAGTGACCCTGCATAGGGTTTCTGAGGCTGTAAATCTTTATGGGAGCAGAAACCCTCATCTTTCTCCCATGGAACGGCTGGTAGTTTCGAACTGCCGACCTTGAGGTTAGTAGCCCGATTCGTAACCACTATGCTACCAGAACTCCATTCCCTGTCATAGGCGGGTTTTAATAAAAAACATTTTCCTCTCAACACTTGCAGGATTCCCCTGGGTTGTTCTGTGGTCTTGCCTCCCCAGAGAGCTCTGAGGGAGACAGGCTGAAGTGAGTCCTTCCACTGTTGTACAGGGTGGCACTGACTGGGCCCATGCCTTTGCTTTCCTCACACCTTTAAAGGGGTCTCTTGTCAGCTGAAGAGGATAATCTTAGACAGGGGATCCATCTTGGCTCAAGGGAGCGTGCCAGCTCCCATCCTGCTAGACCCTGAGTATACACGTGCACACACATGGTGGCTATCTGGGCCTGCACCCATTGGACTAATCGTTAACCAGGGGCACGTCTGTACCTTAGGGCCTCAGTTTAGCCTTGGTATCTTGGGAAGTCACACACTTGTCATTCTAAGAACGCTGTGTTCTTATAACCTGGTGCTGATGCCATCTCTCAGCTACTCATATTCACTGGCATCCTAACTTACACCTCTAGGGGAGCGGCTAGTGAGTTTGAATTGTCAACCTTACAGTTGAGTGGTTATTATATATATATTTATATATATCCCACTCTTCCTTCCTTACCCATTCAGCCTGTGTCTCAATCCATGTATCTATGCACAGAACACTGTCATTCCAAGATTGTGTATGTTGTTGTTGTTAAGTGCCGTCGAGTCGGTTCCGACCCATAGCGACCCTGTACAGGGTTTCCGAGGGTGTAAATCTTTACGGGAGTAGAAAGCCTCATCTTTCTCCCGCGGAGCAGCTGGTAGTTTCAAACCGCTGACCTTAAGGTTCGCAGCCCAATTCGTAACCACTACGCTACCAGAGCTCCTTACAAGATTGTGTATATATCACTATTTACCTCTATCCCTTTTAGCCCTTGCATACCTCCCTGTGTCTTCACCTATCTTCATCATTCTTCTTTCATCCTCCCTCTTCTTGTATATTGTCCTCCTTGTCATCTGAGCTAACATGTGTCTACTCTCTAGCCAGTGAATTACTCTCCCCTCCCTACCACCCTGGTAACCATTAAAGAATGTTTCTTTTAGTCTGGAAACATTTTCTTAAGCTTTTACAACAATGGTCTCATACAATATTTGTCCTTTTGTGATTGACTAATTTCACTCAGCATAATGTCCTCCAGCTTCATCCAAGTTGTGAGGTATTTCACAGCTTCATTGTTATTCTTCAACGCTGCATAGTATTCCATTATGCCAAAAGTATTTCTTGGAAAGACTTTGTTCTCCATTGAATGGATTTAGCACCCTTGTCAAAAAATCAGTTGACTGGGGGAGAGGAGAGGGGGATATCACTACCATCAGGAAAGAAGAGCCAGGAGTGGAGCAAGTCCTTTGGATCCTGAGATCCCTGCTCTGAACCTCTTCAATCAAGGAGACAAGGGGCTGTGACAGTGCAGAAGTGGTAGCAATAGAAGCAAGAGCATATGACAGAGCCGAGCAGAAGGCTTTCCTGTCCACAGAGCAAGTAAAGCTGAGTGCCTTCAGGCAGGAAGCTTGTTGTGGAATGGTGTGCCTCCAGGCACTTAGTCTTGCTGACCCACAGAGCTAGAGCCTTAGGGCTGAAGCTGCCATGGTGTGCCATTTGGGCAGTTATTGGCAGTGCTAAAGGAGCTTTGTAATACTTCCTGAGCAGGGCAGAGGCCAAGGGGCCACGTGGCTGTGAGTTCAAGGACCAGAAAGAGGCATGCCTAACCAGAAGATCTATACTGTGCGCATTTCTGATCTTGAATTGTAACCTGTTAAATTCCTTAATAAACCCATTAATCATGGAAAAAAAAAATCAGTCTACCACAGATGTGTGGGTTTATTTCTGGACTCTCTATTCTATTCCATTGATCTGTGTGCCTGTTATACCATCTTTCCCCACTATGTCTGGATGCACAAACGGAGAATCTGAGACGTTAATATGCTTGGTGTTGCCAGCCTGTAACGCCAAAGCCTAGGTTCACTCTGCTATATTAGGCTCAAAACAAGCTTGGAGGACATTTAAATCCAGTTTACAGATGAGAAAGTAGGTTTAAGAAGGGAAAAGACTGGCCCAAAGTCATGATGCTCCAACCTTACTCTTCCGATGCCACTATTCTACCCAGGGGCCTGGCCAAGGCATTACTATGCTCTTGCCTTTTATTGAGGATATTCAAATACTCTCTGCAGTGACTAAATTATATGCAAAACCCATCTATGAGAAATTAAGTGGTAAGCATATGAAACAAGAGCATGTCAAGGAAGGCTGGGTGAGCATCAGCACTCTTTGGATAGATGAAGAAAATAGGCTCCGAGAAGCTCAGACTTGTGTATGACAGTGGTCAGGCCTCAAGCTCCCTTTCTAGCTCTCCCCAAAACTCATCTTCCTACCTTTCTGCAGAGCTTTCCTGAGGGAAGAACCCAAGATAGGTCTGATCGCCTTGGGAAGGTGGCGTGGAGGCCCAGAGCCCACTGAGCTGAGCCTTGCTGTAGAGACAGCATTGCCAAGTAATACCATCTTTGAGCCTGCCTCCTTCTCCACTCCCCTTTGTCCCACAGAAGACCAACTGTTCAGTCACCAGCAAAGGGGTGGGGAGGGGAGGGGGTAGGGAGGGGGTGAAGGAGGGGAGAGAGGGAGAGAGAGAGAGAGAGAGAGAGCAAGCACAGCTGCCTTTCCTAATTGCCACATCATGTTAACCTCTCTATCCTTCCAAGCTGTGTCAAGACAGCCCAGAGACATCTTCACCGCCCTTCCCCTCCTGTGAAGTGGGCTGGGCTGCTCAGAATCTCAGTATCATGAATAAGAATCTGACTCTTGGAGTTGGGAAGACCTTGTGGATTGTGTTGCTACTGGTCACTCGAACTCTTTGTTGTTCTGACTCATAGTGACCCCTACAGGGCAAAGTAGCATTGCCCAGGGTTTTCTTAGGCTGTAATGTTTTTCTTTTTTTCCTATACATGTCCTCTGCTTATTGTTTTTTTTTCTTGATGAGGTGGTAAAGGTTTCTCTAGTTTTTAGAAATTAAACTCTTGTCTGATAAGTCATTGCCAAAAATTTTTCTCAGTCTGTGGGTTCTCTTTTATTCTTTTGGTGAATTTTTAAAATGCACGTTAAGTATCTAACTTTTAGGAGATCCCAGTCATCTAGTGTTGCTGTTGTTGTTAAATGCTGTTGAGTGGGTTCTGACTCATAGCGACTCTGCATAGGCTATCTGAGGCGCAGCTGGTGAATCTGAACCACCGACCTTGCGGTCCAGTGCATTATCCCACAGCGCCACACCAGGATTCCTTTTATAGGCCTGGGCTGATTCAGTTCCTTTACCAGGCTACATGGTTGCTATTATCCCCACTTTGTAAACAAAGGACCCTGGGTGTCCAGCTGCATCGATCATACACCTGAAGTTAGAGATCAGGGACAAGAGTCCAGATCTGTCTGATACCTTCAACTGTGCCTGTTCCCCTGCCTAGTGAGGCTTCTGTGAGTCCCTCAGGATCTCTTGAGCTGCTTGTTTACAAAGTGGATTCTCAGCCCTCAGCCCAGAGATCCGGATTCCAGTCTGGACTGGGATCCAGGAACCTACATTGGAAACAAGTTCCTGAGGTAGTTTTGAAGCAGTGGCCAGAAGATCCCATTCGGAGACACACTGCCTGGCACCATGTTACCCCCACCCTCCCCAGCTCTGACCCAATCCTTCCCAATCCATCCCTGCTGAGGGAGTCACTTGGGTGGTGTGTCCCCATAGACTCTGTAGCATACAACTTGGTCAGGTCTCACCATTTCCTTATAGGAAAGGGGAGTCCAGGATCCTTCATGGGGAGAAGGCACTGGACAGTTTGCTCTGAAGGAATCCTGAGGATTCCGGGCCAGATCAAAGAGTCACTTCAAATCTACAGGGCTTTGTAAAATCACCCCAGAGGTAACCAAACAAGCAGAGTGAGGGGAAGTCTGGAGTGAGTGACACAGGCATTGGATTCAAGTCCCAACCCTGCCACTAGTTCTCTAATTTAGGGCTGCAGGTCCCTTATCCTGACAAGATAAGGGAGTTGGATTAAATGATCAACTCTGTCCCACTATGGCTAGTGATCCGGTAGCTCCTGCTGCTCCGATGAAAGGGAGAATAGGGAGGAGGGGGAGGGAGAGAGG